AAGTTTGCTTAAACTTTTTTATTTTATATTTGTTCCTTTTTTCTGTCAGTGAAAAAAAATCATCAAATAATGATTAAAAAAAAAATACACCAGAGATTAGGAACCCACTGTTTCGGCGGCACCCGGAAGCACCACTGCCATAGACGGTAATCTGCAGCTCACTAGAGTATTAATTACGAAGCCTGGACCACCCACCTCCATGACATCACCGACGTTCAGGTACCAACCCAGCTCCTGATACCAGCGCAGGCCAATCAGAAGCTGCAGATGTCAGTGTATGACACGAAGAAGCCTTTGCCTCTCTGATGGTGCAGGAATTGGGGATGATCTGAGGTGTGAAGGTGCAGGAATTGGGGGTGATCTGAGGTGTGAAGGTGCAGGAATTGGGGATGATCTGAGGTGTGAAGGTGCAGGAATTGGGGGTGATCTGAGGTGTGAAGGGGCAGGAATTGGGGTGATCTGAGGGGTGAAGGTGCAGGAATTGGGGTGATCTGAGGGGTGAAGGTGCTTGAATCTGAGGGGTGAAGGTGCAGGAATTGGGGTGATCTGGGGGTGAAGGGGCAGGAATTGGGGCGATCGGAGGGGTGAAGGTGCAGGAATTGGGGTGATCTGAGGGGGGAAGGTGCAGGAATTGGGGTGATCTGAGGAGTGAAGGTGCAGGAATTGGGGTGATATGAGGGGTGAAGGTGCAGGAATTGGGGTAATATGAGGGGTGAAGGTGCAGGATTTGGGGTGATCTAAGGAGTGAAGGTGCAGGAATTGGGGTGATCTGAGGGGTGAAGATGCAGGAATTGGGGTTATTTGAGGGGTGAAGGTGCAGGAATTGGGGTGATCTGAGGTGCGAAGGTGCAGGAATTGGGGTGATCTGAGGGGTGAAGGTGCAGGAATTGGGGTGATCTGAGGTGTGAAGAAATTGGGGGTGATCTGAGGTTTGAAGGAATTGGGCTAATCTGAGGGGTGAAGGTGCAGGAATCGGGGTGATCTGAGGGGTGAAGGTGCAGGAATTGGGGTGATCTGAGGGGTGAAGGAATTGGTGGTGATCTGAGGGGTGAAGGAATTGGGGTGATCTGAGGGGTGAAGGTGCAGGAATTGGGGTGATCGGCAATTCCCTATACAAACTGTTTATAAATCATCCCCCTTAATGTAGGAAAGGTTCCTGACTTTAACCTGAAGGAATTGGGATGATCTGAGGACATGAGGTCTTCACAAAGCAACAAAGGTTTTCTTAAAGGTATACCAATCCCCCCCACCCCCTCCCCCCACAAATTAGAGGCTGATCGCCAAAAACTATAATTCTGCAGCAAAATCATTTTCTCAGAAGTGACCCCAGCCAGCATTTCCAGCATTTATAAATAATTATTTTAGCCAATCACAGCTTCCACCGGTGCCTAGCACTGTCCTTGTCCGGAGTCGGGATTCTTGCCCCTCACCTCACAGGGGTAAGACTTCCCGTCCACAGTATGTTCCGATCCCTCGTGGCGCTGGGTGCCCCAGTGGAAGTGGAACTGCTTGAGCCTGTAGGAGTCATCGAGAGGTCCTCCGCTGATCACTGCAAGACAACAAATTAAAAAGATTGAAAGTTGCGAAATGTAAATTGAAGGAAAGAAAATCTGTGGAGATGACTTAATATCGCATGTGATGTTTGACTCAATGGAGGCATTTCATTATTATTATTACACCTGTCAACCAATGAGCGATGATACAATGTAACACAATGATAGGAAGAGGAGGGGGGGGGGCTGCAGTCTATGGAGAGCTGAGACCCCACAGAGGCCATAGGGCAGCACCGAGATTCGTGACCCTCCATGTACTCCCTATTCACTGTCATACATAATCAGATCACATGATTAACAAAAATCTGTGATTGCTCCGTGACATCTGATTGGCCAGCCAATCTGCCGTATGAGCGAAGTCTTTCTTCAGCTCTGTAATCGGTTTGTCCTCCCGCTGGGTAAATAATGAGCCGCCCAGCGACATGGTGAATGTAATCTGTCTTGGTGATCTCAGGAAGAAAGTGATTCGGGATTTGGCGATGGCATTGGGCTGTGGATGGAGACGACGTCTCCGGGCGTGAGAGATAACGCTGCGGAAAAACTAAAAATTCACTTCGGCGTCACACAACGCCGCACTTCTCATAGATAGATAACGGCCGAGATTTGGGACAATCTTATAGAAGGTTCCACAAAGATTTAACATGTCTGACCAGAGAGAGGGGGTGTGTTTGAGCAGAGAGAGGCCATGTCTGACCAGAGAGAGGGCGTGTCTGACCAGTGAGGGGGCGTGTCTAACCAGTGAGGGGGGGTGTCTGACCAGAGAGGGGGCGTGTCTGACCAGAGAGAAGATAGTTTGCAGCTCTTTATTGTAGGAAGTAAACGATGTCTTTTATACAAAGTTACAGTTTCAGGTTGACATTAATCCTTCACCGGGTAAGACACACATCTGATTACAAAGAATCCAGCTCAGTGATATTTACAAACAGAAGCGGAAACAATGTAAATAAATACTTATTTTATAATAACAAACTGGAAAGAACCAACAAAAAGAAACAAAACAACTCTCCAGTATTGTATGTATTACCCATAATACAGGAGAACCCCATCAAACCCCCGCCCCCCCCCTTCACCCCCCGGGAG